TATAAGGAGAAAAAGTGAGAATATAGGTAAATTGTATCCAAATTAAATAGCAGAATTCTAGCTGCCCAGCAAGTGTAGATGCACAGGAACAAAAGGAGCCCCAGGAGACCTCCTTGGTTTGTCACGATGTGTCCTCACGGATTGGCTTGCTTGCTTCTGAGCTCCGTGCTGGTGTAGGATTGCACTCACACAGTAAATAGCACTAAAGTGAGTTCCAGTGTGTTCATGGGGAAGTTTTTGGGTGCAGGACAAGGGTCACAAACAGAGGCCAGCAGGGCCCTGCTTGGGTGCAGCAGGTGAGTGTGGCTGCAGCTGGGGAAGGCCTCAATGGCCGGTGCCCGGTTCACACACACAGGGACCCTGTGGACCTGTGGCGGCCAGCTGGTGGTCCTCCATCCAGGTTGAGAGAGTGCTTGTTGGCACCAGGCTGGTCTGAGAAGACGGAGTGAGAAACATGGGCTGGGCCAGGGATACAAGCTCCAAGCTCCCAGGCCAAGCTGCCCGTCTGTGACAACAACCAGGACCATGGAACTTCACCTGCGCTAACTCAAACTCAGCCTCCGGCTGCTTCTCAAGGGGTTTACTTTACTGAGCCCTTGTCGGGTGCTGGGGACGCAAAGCTGGTGAGAAAGCAGCCCCTCCACACCCACGGGGTCCGGCAGCGCGGCAAGCTAGTGGGGCTGAAGGCCGAAGGAGCCGATCGTGGATGGCAGAGGGGAGCTTCAGAGGAGGCTGCCGAGGAGGGGCCGTGGCGCCCCGAGAGACAGAGGGAAGAGAGCCACAGCTGGGAGGGCTGGCGCGGTGGGAGGGGGCTGAGGTGCTGGGTGGGAGGAGAGGGACCCGGGACGGGTGAGAGACAGAGACCCGGGAGTCTCTTACGTCAGGAGTGACATGATCCATACTCCTGAAACTGCTCCTCCAAGCCTTTTGCTATTTTAAAGCCCCTAGAAGTCCCCAGGCAGTCCCCCGCTCCTCAGAAGCAGTGGCGAGGTCGGTCACCCGGCTCTTCTCCCTGCAGCTGGCGGGGGCCCTGGCGCTGGCGGCCCGCTCCCACCTGCGCCGGCTTCCGCTCTCCTCCTGCGCTCTACCTGCCGGCACCCTCGCAGAAGCCGTCCCGGGGCTGCTGTTTTGCTTTCCAGGACGGAGCCCAAAGGACTTATTCCTCGGCCTTGCCCAGTCTGAGCGGAGGGCTGTGGCTTGTTACGGTGTGGCCCTTTGCGCAGTGACGGCCGCGCTGTGCTTCGGAATGGTACGTAACGGCCCAGCCTTTGAAGTCAGGCTGTGTGCAAGGTTCACCTGCTTTGGGCTGACACTCTCTGGCCCATGTGGCAGTGCCGGGCCGCACAGGCCAGATCCCACGTCACGAAGCCCTGAGGCCCATGTCACCTGCCCTGGGCAGAGGCCGGACAAGTCAATTTGACCCTCCTTTAGCCCAGAACAGTTCAGCAATACAGCAGCCACCCAGGCTGCCGCCTCCTCCAGGAAGCCGGCCTGGCCCCCACCCTGTGCTCAGTCATATCTCTTCTCACCTGTGCTTCATCTCACATGATCTCACACTGCCGCAGGGGTGGCAGGGGTGTCTTTTGCCTTGTCTTTCCATTGTGTCAGCTTCCCGTCAGCCAGCCCCCACTGGACATGTTCTCCTCTGGGTTGGGCCGAGTGAGGGACGGGGCTCCCTGTTTCACACCCTCCTACTGATCTGCCACTGGCAAATCCGGTCACGTCACCCCGGCTTAAACTCCTTCAACAGACGAAGAGGTTCCCCCATAACCCTGCCCACCGCTCCCACTTGGGCCAACAGAGTTAGCAAATAAAAGTTGTCAGTGTCAGTAAGCCCCCTTAAACATAAATAGTTCAGACATATTTGTGTTAAAAATGACCTGTTGCTGGCATGAAATGCAAAATGTCACTGGGCGTCCTGTATTTTGCGCCAGCCTCAGCCCCCACCCGCCCGGCCAGCCCCCCCAGTCCTGCCCAGGGCGGCAGCACCCACATTGGCGTGGGGCCCGGCGCCTCTATTTCCAGAAGGTCTTGCCTGTGTTCTGTTGAAGTTGGGAATCCTACTCTGAGCTTGACTAGACCTGATGGCGTGCCATGTACACATGTTGTATATGCTTGCTGTATGCACTTGCTGTGTACGCCGTGCCCTCCACCAGCACATGCCTTCCCCCTGGATCCCTCTGCTGCGCCCCAGGGTGGTAAGTCCTACTCACTGCTACAAGGCAGCGGCAGTGTGGTGTCCCTGTAGGTGCTTTTGTGGCACCACCCCAAGGTCCCAGCCAGCCAGTCCCCCCTGGACCCCAGAGGCTCTGGGCATGCTTGCTCACCACGCTCATTTCCCTGTGCCATCGTTTTCTGTCTCTTGGGGTGCCTGACACATTGTAGAGTGTGTCCCCTTGAGACAGTATTAAATGAATTGAATATTCATGTCTCCTAAGTGGATTAAAATTCTCTTCAGTCCTTAAAAGTCTACCAGTATTCTAGTTGAGTAGAGTGAAGCTACAAGTGACTGCTCGTGTTCACACCTTGACGACACTAGGAACTGAGTCCTTTGCTCATCCGTCCACACAACCACCTGTCCATCTACCCATCCACTCATCTGTTCATTCATGCACACATTGGACAGTTACTCAAAGAATGCCCGTTGTATTCAGGCAGTGGCGAAACACAGATAACAGCTGGCTCCTGCCTCCGGGAGCTCACAATCCACACGGGAGGACTGAAATAAATAATTGTAGCAATTTTTGTATTTTGAATACAGTGCTTTTATTGAATATGTGATTTGTAAGTATTTTCTCCCTGCCTGTGGCTTGTCCTTTTATTAACAGCTTCTTTACAGAGCAGAAATTATACATTTTGATAAAGACCAATTTTTTAATTTTTTCTTTTATGGATTTTGCTTTTGGTATCATAGCTCAAAATGAATTGCCAAACCCAAGGTCACATATACTTTCTCTTATGTTTTTTTCCTAGACCTTTTATAGTTTTATGTTTTGCATTTAAGTTGATGATCTGTTTTGAGTTCATTTCAGTATGAGATGTGGGGTATGGATCAGAGTTCACATTTTTTATAAATGAATATCCAATTGTTCCAGCACCATTTTTTAAAAGAATATCCTTCCTTTATCGAATTGATTTTGCATCTTTGTCAAGTGCGATCAGCTGTGGGTCTGTTCTGGGTTCTCTCTTCTACTCCATTGATCTTCCCTTTGCCAGTCCCACCGTGTCTTGGTCACTGTCACTCTGTGCCAGTCTTGAAATGGCACAGATAAGCCCTCCAAATCTGTTCTTTTTCGGTTTGGCTATTCTAGCTCTTCTGCCTTTCCATATAAGTTTTAGAATCATCTTATCAATATCAGAAAAAGAAGAGTCATGCTGTGATTTTTATTGAGATTCCTGTGGATATATAAACCAAATTTGGGCAGATTTGGCATCTTAATAATATTAAGCTTTTTAATCCTGTTATGTCTCTCCATTTACTTAGGTCATCTTGGTTTCTTTCATCACTATTTTATGGTTTTCAGCATACAAATCCCACCTAATTATATATAGTTTTAAAGCCTACCTAAAATCCAAAGAGCAAGAAACTCAGATCAGAGACTCATTTGTTCTTCCTAAGGAGACCAAGAAATCTTCACACAGCAGGAGAGGTGTTTGAGCCTCAGTGAGGAGTTCAGCTCATGGCCATGGCTGGGAGTGGCATTCCAGGCAGGGGGTACAAAGGGAGGGCCACGCTGGAGTCCAGGGTTGGGCAGACAAGTTTGAAAAGGGTGGTTGAGGCCAGGAATAGAGGCCTTGAATGTCAGGCTAAGGCACTCGGCCTCTATCACCTGGAGCGGAGGTGATACTGCATGGGGTCTCTGAGCACGAGACCGGCCCTTGCTGTCCAGCATGGCTGCTTTGCTGGGAAAGCCTGCAGGGTTCAGATCTACCTACAACTCTCTGTATAACCGGTTACCTGTCCTCTCTGGCTCCGGGCATCCCTGCAGAGTTTGGACACGTTGTCAGGAGTACTAGGGATTTCAAGGCTGATCAAAGTCAAGGATATGATCACAAGAGACAGTGACAAGCAGGATTTATTGGGGTGATATTTTGACAGGTTTCCCTGTGGGAGAACTCCCTCATGCTATGAAACTGTCCAGTGGCTTACAGCATAGGGGACAGGGAACAAGAGCAAGGGAAATCTCGGGGAGAGGCCACCAGAGAGGTGGCTAACCAGTACAGAGGGTGTCGTTCAGTGGCACGCAGGGACGCTCTGGGTCAGAGAGCTCCCCAGGGCAATGGCTTAGGGACCTTGGAACCTTATAATGGGTAACAGCTATCCCATGAGATTTTGCAGAGTGTGTAAAGTGGACAGGCTCTAAATAGCTAAAATTTGCTGGTTTGAGCTATTTTTTAAACAAATGTATAGAAATTTGAGTTTGGTACCAGCAGGCCTTTGCATTAACGGCCCTCAGCCTGCAGAGAAGAAAGAAGCCACCCGAGGGCCAATGGGCAGAGGCCACTCTTGGCCCACTTGTGGAAGCCACATGGAGACACATGAAGCCACATGGAGACACAGCCTGCTGGGCCACTTGCTCATCCCCTGGCACAGGCACACACTCTCACTCGGCGTGGCTCGGGGGGGCGCTGAAACGCAGATTTTACATCATGTTGATAATCTCATCCTCAACTGTTAGATGTTGGAAATATCCTTTGTAATACGATTAATTTCCATTGCTGACTTCATCTTACTGCCATGTAGTTCAATTCGGGAGACGTATCTTCCTGATTTTTTTTTTTTTTTTTTGCTTAGAAATTACCATCTTACCAAAAGGTTAAAATAGCATTATCAGATATAATCTCCATTTTATAGTTTATCACATTAACAAAGCTATTTTTTAGGTTGCTGACATGAAATTTTCTTTATAATTTTCTCTTCTCCAGCTGAGAGGTTCCCTCATGACTTTAACCCGAAGAAGAAAATCTTTTCAAAGCAAATGTCCCGTGAGACTTAAAGATGTCGCCGCTTACACGTGGGGGAAGGCCCTCACCGTTTTGGGACTGGAAATACCAAAGCTGGACGAGACTGAGGCGGTTGAGAACCACGTAAGCCGTGGGGTCTTGGATTAGTGAGCGCGGTGGCACTCTCACGGGATGGTTTCTCTGCGGAATTTTGCCCTCTGTGATCAAAACACGATTATGTCTCTGTGGCAATTATCATTGCAAAGCCATACAATTAGTTTTCAACCATAGTGGAACTCACAAAATTGTCCCTTGTAATTCTAAAGCACTTTATAGTTTCCCAAGCACAGTCTCCTCCAGTGGCTCACTGTATGCATACGATGACCCTGTATGATGGGAAGGATAGAGTTCATGGTCCTCCCCAGGACACAAACACATGTTCTCTGTCTACTTTAGAATTAGTCGTTTGCTTTGGGTACCTGCCACCAAACCCAACCCTCTCCCCAAAACATGGAGCCTTAGGCACATTATTTGAGTTCAGCCATCCAGACAGGAAGGCAAACAAACCAAATCAGGTATTTGCACACTGAATACCCGCCTGTCTTCCATGCCGATATTTAGGGCATCATCCAGTGCAGTTCTGCAGCTGGTCGTATGTAATCGTGACATTGTAATAGGGCTTTACTGTCTGTCATGTGCTTCCCCAGCCACTAGTGCCTTAAAATCCATTTGGGAGGCATTATTAACCCTAGCACTTACGTGCATAGCTTTACATGAGCATTATAAATGAGGCAACTGAGATATGGAGATGTAAGAGACAGGCCCAGCACCCAGGTCTTCTGACTCCAGGGTCCAGATGTTTTCTAGCGTAGCACAGTGCCATCGAGAATTGGTACCCCTACGTGCTCAGGTAATGAGGAAAGAAGGAAATTAGGATCTTGAAATCAAATTTTCTTCCCTTCAGAATTACTACCTGGATGAATGTGAAAATCTGTTAGATGAACTTTTGATGAAGATTAATTGTTTGGCCGACAGCCTACAACTCCCTCTTCTGGAAAAACAATCCAACGGTATAAGGGAGGCAAGGGCAGAAGATAGCCCCTAGGTGGGCATTTCTAGTTATCACGCTGCTGAGGTAAGACTATGCAAACTTATTTATGTCAGTTTTCTTTATAGCAAAGTTTTGAAGTTCTAATGGAGGTTTGGAATAGTTGTTCCAAATTATGAGTCCATTTGCATAAATATGTATCTATCTGCCCCTAATATCTGATTACAACTGGAATCAACAAAGGGACTGAGAAACAGAAATGGAAACTCCATCCTCCTAGAAACTAAGAAATATATATGGCCCAGAACATGACCAATAATCCCAAGAATAAATGCCAAGTACAGTGAAAATTAGACCAAAAGGAGAAAGGAAGCTTCCACTTCTTAAGAGCACATAGAATTCTCTAAATCAGCCTATCTGGAGGGCCCACCAAAGATCCCTGGTTTGGAAGAGAAGATTATAGAACAAAAAATAGTTAAAGGAATCTACCTGAACCCTAATGCCACAGAGTTCTGGGAACATAGGACTGAAGGATAAACATGCAGGAAGCTGTTTGCTGATATGGCCACCGGTAGGAGGAATCACTGGTGGCTCACAGACCTAGAGTCACACCTCTTGCCAACTAAAGAAAAATCAACACAAATACACAGTAAAAAGAGAAAGTGGGTACATTCCAGTGGTAACTTCCCAGAGAGCCAGAGAGATATTTTGCATGCCCAGAGCAATCACGCCCACATGTCTGTGTGGCAATGAAGTGCTCCCTGAAGGGACAGGAGGACACGAGGTACCTGCTACAGGCTCTCTGCCCCGGCCCTTCCTGGCCTAATAGCAACTACCTGGGGAAGACTCCCCCATGCAGAGATGAGCATGCACATGGAGAGAGCACTGGTAACAATACAAAAAAATTGTTATTGGATCTATGCAAACCTGCTGCATGAAAAAACTGTAAAAAGTAAAAATGACCAAAGAAGATGGAGCTGAAGATCAACCTTTGAAAACAATTGCCACAAACAGGCAAAAATTATAACCAAGAAACTCTCCACACAAAGCACAAATTAATGGAAAAAAAGGCCTCTTTGAAATGAGAGTTCAAAGCCAAGATGAAATAAAAAGACAAAGAATGAATTGACAGAATTGAAGAAAGAAACGGAAAAGAAAAAAAGATGCCAGAAATACAGACAAAGGAAAAAAAATAATGGATTTACAGAAAAGGAAATGAAATATATGGATGGCAGGTTTGAGAAAACTCAGGGGAAAAAAACATTAAAATGTATTTTAGAAAAAATAATACACATAGAAATCAGACAAGGAAGAATATGCATAAGATAAGGAAAAGTACATATGATTAGTGTCTCCCCCCAAGAAAAGCTCAGAAAATTTGCACAGAAATAAATATTTAAAGATTTAATTTCAAAAGAATGTTCTTCAAGAAAGGATATAGACCTATCTCCTTAAAAAAGAACTGTGTCCTCCAGGAGAAATGGATTCAAATCTATTAAAACTAGAACATATCAAATAACATCACTGGACTTAAAAAATAAAGATAATCCTACTAAAATCCAGGTACCTCCTTACCCCCCAAAATCAAATCACCTCCAAGTGATTTTAAATTATTTAAATTGTTTTAAAATTATTTATTATCATTTTAATTATATAAAACTATTTAAATGTATATATCCATAGAAAGTTGGACAAATGATAGGAAAAGCATAATTTTTATAGAATAGGAAATATAATGACCAATTTTATAAAAAATAATTAGAGGAGAGAATTTATAGACATGAAGAAAGGGTAGCATTTACTACATTTGTAACATGAAAATAATGAAAAAATTTAATAAAAAATTTTAGAAGATAATTGTATTTTATATTTATACCATAAGGTTAATATTGGTTTTTTTTGGATGATATGATTAAAACAAACAAAGGACAATATACACTGTTAATTAGTGCTTAGAAGAAAATCGGTCATGTGGAGCAACAAAAAATAAAAGTAGACCATGTATTTGACTCAGGAACAATTCACACATACCCACAGACACACACACACACAGAGCAAAGCGAAAGGAAGGAAGGAAGATAAAAGCCTATTATAGGCCGGGCGCGGTGGCTCACGCCTGTAATCCTAGCACTCTGGGAGGCCGAGGCGGGCGGATTGCTCAAGGTCAGGAGTTTAAAACCAGCCTGAGCGAGACCCCGTCTCTACCAAAAATAGAAAGAAATTAATTGACCAACTAAAAATATATATACAAAAAATTAGCCGGGCATGGTGGCGCATGCCTGTAGTCCCAGCTACTCGGGAGGCTGAGGCAGTAGGATCGCTGAGCCCAGGAGATTGAGGTTGCTGTGAGCCAGGCTGACGCCACGGCACTCACTCTAGCCTGGGCAACAAAGTGAGACTCTGTCTCAAAAAAAAAAAAGCCTATTATAATGAAATCAACAGCAAAATGAAGTAGTTCAAGAGATGATTCTTTTAACAAACAATTGACAGATTATTAGCTAATATATAGCCAAATATGAAAAAAGTGACTGTAATAAATATACAAAATAAAAATGAGAAAGGGGAAATAACCCTAAGGAAATTAAGTGAATTATAAAACACTTTGGAAATAGAGAACAATTATCAATGCTCATTATGTCCCACCTGACTTGAGTAGGGATAGAAACCTGAAACAGTATTTATTTGAAGGTCTGTCCCTCCGAAAGCACCAGGCCAGATGGTTGCACAGGTAAAATACACCAAACAATTAAGAAACATATATATCCAGGATGCTCTTCAAACTGTTCCAGAGCAGAGATGGAAGAAACGCTTCCAAATACATTTTTATGAAACAAAGAATGTATTGATATAAGAACTAGAAAACATATCCCAAATTTATTTTTTAAAAACCCAACTACATGCCAGTCTTACTGATTTTGATACCAAAAAATCTAAATAAAACATTAGCAAGTAGGATTTAGTTGCAGATTAAAAGAATAATATCCTGTGATCATATGAGTATTAAATCAGGAACAGAAACATTTTAATATTAAAAATATATTAATACCGTTCACCAAAAAAAGATAAACTATCATTTGATTTTCTCCAAGGATGCATTTTCTAAAATCAACATCCATTCCTAATTTTTAAAACATACATTTAATAAAAATGAAATTGACATAATTTTTTAAAGATAAGAATACATCTCAAGCTAAAAGCCAGTACTACGCCTAGCGGTACAACACCAGAGGCTTTCTGGTGAGGGTAAGGACATGGAGATTGTCGATTCAAGGGTCCCACAAGAGCATTTATTTTGAAGGGAGAGGCCTCATCTCATTCCTGTAAGCAATTCTGTTTACATTATATATTTTATAACTCATACAGCTAGCAGAACTTTACATTGAGAATATGGTTGAGCAGTCTTTTATATACACAGCACATGCTATTGTGAGTCCGTACACGCTTGCAACATATAGTAACCTCTACTAATTTCCTAAGGCTCAGAAAATAACATAACTCAAACAATTGTGAAGGCTTGTAGTTGTATCTTTGCACTTACAACCCACTGTTCTTGTGTACGATGTGGGCAGTTTTCAGCAGCAATGCAGTCACCAATTTTAGTTTCATTCCTCGAGAAAACACAAATCTTTCTGGACGACCACTTTCTGAGGCATTTATCAAAAGTGCATTTCACAAAAAATCAGTGCGGCCAGGGGCAGGCCTCTCTCACCTCACTCCCAGGTGGGTCTCGGCTGCAGAACTCAAGTTTCTGCAAGGCGAGTTTAGCTGGCCTCTACTGGGAGGAACGAGGAATGTAATTGGTATTGGAACAGGCCAAGCAAGCTGGACTTTACAGAACAGACCCTCTTTTGTGTGCCTGGAGCTGAGGAAACAATCTGTTTGAATTTCTTAACTTCAGGGCAGTTGTTTTTTCATCTTAACCATTAATAATTAAGATTTGTATCTTTATAAACTAGAAGGATTGGATGCCTGGAGCTATCAATAACCACCTACAAATCATACTGTGCTTTGTAGTTTTTAAATGACTCATGGCAACAAAATGCTGTGGGCTGCCAGCCTCCAGCTTCCCCTGCCTGCCAGCCTGGCTGCCCTAGCGTTTGCCAGCTCGCTTCTGCCCCTCAGTGCTGCAGGCTTGGGCGGGAGAAGAGCACCCAGCCAGGGCTGCTGCTCCCTGGGCAAAAGGACTTTGTTCCTTGGTGGCTCTTTCCCCGGCCCAGCGAGGACTCACTGTTTGCAGGCGCTGGCCAGCCCCTAGTGCGGATGCAACTGAGAGATTCCAGGAGGGTTTTGTACCCCACATATCTTCCTCTTGGTTTGCTTTTGTGAAAACGGTTGAGTGAGGCAGGAACATGCAGAGGGAGGGCCTGACTGCAAGGTACAGAATCTGCCCAAGCGATTTTTGGCTTCCCTCCCCGACCTTTCTTTTTAAAGTATAGTTCTTTAGCACCCACCTGCGGGGGGGAGTTGAGTTTTGTCTAACGGTGGAAACTCTGAGTTCACTTCCGCATTTGGGGTCCCCAACACAGTAGATGCGGGTTTGCAGAGAAGGCTGCTGTACAGACGTCCACGGCCTGTTTTCAGCAAGGTCAGCCTTGGGCCCCTGGGGTCAGTGTTACTCAGGAGTGGGAAGCAGCCAAGAAGGCGACTTTTCTCTCAGCTTCTTCCCTTAACTTTGCCAATCTGTGGAATACAAGATTTAGAAAACAGCCCTGGGCACAGAAACCTGACTGCCAGAGAAATTTACCGAGCCTCTTCCGTTTATCTAGGAGTTTTTGTAATTATAGTCCAATCTTGTAAACTTACTGAATCTTCAGTGACTCATTTCTAACCGATGGTGCAAGATATCGGAACATACTAAGCTTGAATACATGAGGAGAAAACAGGCTAGGAAGGGTTTGTTTTTTAAGAAAATACCAACTCAGCCTGAACATGCTGAAAATACCTACTCCTGATACACATGGAGGTCAGAGGGGCCTGAGGGTGAGCAGGTTTGGGGTGGGGTGGAGGTCTAACCTCTGGGTGACTGTGGCAAATAACTACTTCATGCCTTTGTGTCCTGATTCAGGTTTCACCTCTGTCTGGGAGACTATGGCAATTAACTGTTTCACACCTTTGTGTCCTCTCTGTAAAGGGAGGACACTAGTGACGCCTCCCGCAGAGGCCACTGGGAGGGTGATTGAGTTGGTATCTGCACAGTGTAAGCGCTCTCCCTGGGTTTCATACACATTATTAAAACCGAGTTTTAAGATTCATTCATTCATTCATCAAGTGTTTTTGTGCCGGGCACAATTCTAGGATCTTGGGAGTCAACAATAAACAACATTGACTTGAAAGTAAACTATGTCCACCAAGAAGACACAATATTCCTGGAACTTGGAAAATACAAATCTCAAAATTATGGGCAAAACTCTGGCCAACTTTTTGTGCCTACCTAGATCTATATATGATGTGTTTCTTCACCTGAAGCTGAGATGGCCATCCATGCTGCAAACATTAAATTAAAATGAGGTATGCTCAGGGAGAATGCAGCGCATTATTCCCAAGATTTAGTCAATATGTTAAGGGCCAGGGTGTTGCTGGATTTGACTAAAAGTGACCTTTCAAACCTGATCCTGCATCCTGGTTCTGCCCTTGCCAGCTGAGTTGGGTCTCATCACTTCCCTCTACCACTGTGCCTTCCCCAGAGCCCAGTGCTTGGTAAGTGTCTAGTAAATTGAGTATTGAGCAATGTGCAATGAAGCAATGTGCAACGTATACGGATAGAAAGGGGGCAGATAATACTGCCAGTACGGCCACATGTTAACAAGCGGCTCTGTGTAAAGGAGGTCTGAGTGCTTCTGAATTGTTCTTGAAACTTTTTTGGTAAGTCTGAAATTACGTCCAAATGAAAAGCTTTTAAGAAGAAGCTATTTTATTACTCAAGTAAGGAGATGGCAAAATAATAGAGTCACAATTGTAAGATATGATTCGTATTAATGGTGTTTGTTGTTTCTTTCTAAACTTTTCTGTTTCTAAGTATATCGTGGAGTTTTTCCCCTGATGGACATCACAAGAAAAGCTAATTAAAATAAAATAACCATTTAGATACGATTTACAAATGCTTAATTTATTAGAAGTGAAAATAACTGAAAACCCAGACAGAAAAGTGGAAGCAGACAGCCTTCTGAAATGAATTTTCTCTGCTTTCACGGATTGTACTAAGGCGGCCCGTGATGACTTCACAAGAAGGAATGTTTTTGTGGCTGGTGATTCATTCTCTCCTGGCAGACAGAGCTCCAGTAAAGTTGAAATATCATTGTTAATCCCTTCTCATTTAGATGTGTGCTAGAACAGCACTTGAGGCTCTAAGGATATAAACCAGGGCTCCTGTGTTGCTGTGAGCACGTAATTCATTTACTCCACCCGAATTGTCGCCTGGTGGGGTCAAGAAAGTGAAATTGAATTCTCAAGGGCTAAAATGTACTATCAGCTGGCTTCTTTCTGAAGAAGTTCCTATTTCAGTTTGGAGACTTACAAACTACAATTATTTCCCAAGATAATAGGTAAAATACTGTATCATTAATTGTTTGCTGTATATAACAAAGTGCCACAAATACAAATTTATCCTTTCACAGTCTGGAGGCCAGAAGTCCCAGGTCAAGGTGTCACAGGGCTTGGCAATTAATTAGTTTTCAGTAGGACCAAGGAGAAGGAAAGTTAGAGCAGATTCAAAGGTTTCCCCATGACAAGGCCAAGTTCACTCAACCAGCATTGCACTAGATTTTTCTTGGGTAGAACAGAAAGAGTCTAAGTTACTGTTAGCATATACAGGTGTGACACATCCAAAATGTCATCATTTACTGCACCAGCATGGGGATTTATTTTGATCTTCAGAATTCAACTAAAAGTTGTGCAAATCTCTGGGACTGTGGAAAGGAACCTTATTCCATGCTGACTTTCTTGGCTTTTCTTGCCATCATAGACTTCTGTATAATGGAACTGGCTAATATTTATTACTACAATACTAACCCTTGCCTTCAAAAAACTAGAGACCTAGGAAAAGCTTTCTCTGCCGTTGTCCAGAGTTGAGTAATTTTCCAAAGATCTGTGCTTGCTGGGGCCTCTTTCTTGCAGTCCTGCCTTCATAAGTTACTGTGGTTTTTTTGACCATCATTCTGGTCCGGTTGCCAGACAGGAGCAAGGAAACTTGATTATAAAGGTTCAGGGATGTGCACTGATCATTGGAGGACCTATCAACACCCTGCTCCCTGCAGAAGGTGAGCATCTTCTTTCAAAAACTGTGGATAACGTAATTTATAACTCTTGCAGGCAGCTGGCTTCCTGGATGGTGAGTCAGAGTGCAAGGGGAGGGACTGGCCGCCGTAAGCAGAAGGTGACCGTACTGTGCGGCCACAGCAGTAGAGACCAGGTGGTCCCGCAGCGGGGAGGACACACAGATGCCTGCAACAGAACAGAGATCCCTGAATAGACTCACAAATATGCCCAGCTCATTTTGACAAAGGAGCTAAAGCAATTCAAGGAAGGAAGCCTGGTATTTTTAACAATGTTGCTAGAGCAATTGGACATCCAGAAGCAAAAGAAAAAAACAAACAATGAACTTGGATGTATACCTCAGACCTTATAGACATAACTCAAAATGGATCATGGACTTAAATGCAAAACATAAGCTATAATATTGGAGGGGGGGAAGGTGGGGGAACAGAGGAGAAAATAAGAACAATCCAAAAAAGAAAAAATTAATAAATTAGAAACTTAAAAACTTTTGCTCTGCCAATGACCTTATTAGGAGGATGAAAGGACAATCTACAGATTGGAAGGAAATATTTGCACAGCACATATTCAATAAAGGACTAGTATCTAGAATATATAAAAAACCTCAAAACTCAACAGTAAAAATACAAATAATCTAGTTAGAAAATGGAACCAAAAAATCAATAGACATTTCACTGAAGAGGATGTACAAATGGGAAATAAAGACATGAAAAATGTGACCACCAGTAGTCATTAGGGAAATGCAAATTAAGACCACAATGATATATCACTACATACCTTAGAGAGACTAAAACATAAAACAGTGACAACACCTAACTGCTGGCGACGATGGAGAGACTGGGTCACTCCTACATCACTGGTGGGAATCCAAAATGGTACAGCCACTCTGGAAATTAGTTTGGCGGTTTCTTATAAAACAAAACACTTGTGATCCAGAAACTACCTGGATCATTGATTCCAGGGAAATGAAGACATACATTCACACAAAAACCTGGGCATGACTGCCCATAGCAGCTTTATTCGCAGCACCTCTGAACTGGAAACCCGCCAGACAACATTCATTGACTGAACAGCTAAACAAACTGTGGTCTCCTCATGCCATGGACTAGTACTTAGCAATGAAGAGGAACAGGCTGTTGGTACAACCTGGGTGAATCTCCAGGGAACTATACTGAGTGCAAATCACCAATCTCAGAAGGTTACATACGATATGATTCAACTTATACAACATTCTTAAAGTGACAAAATTACAGAAGTGGAGAGCAGTTTGTGGTTGTCTGGGGTCAGGGATGGGGAGGGGTAAGGAGGGAAGGAGGGAGGGAGGGAGGGGCGAGTATAAAAGGACATCGGGAGGGATCGTGGTGATGGAATTAATTGTGTCAGTGTCCTGGCTGGCATATTGTCCTGTAATTTTCCAAGATGTGACCATTGAAGAAAACTTGATAAAAGGTATATAGGATTTTTCTGTATTATTTCTTACAACTGCACGTGAATCTATAATTATCTCAAAGTAAAAAAAATCTAATTAAAAATGATCTAAGGTTATTATAGCATGCAAAATTAAAATAAACTGAAATTCTATTAACTTAAAAACTAATAGAAATATTAATGATTTTTCTGACAGAGAAGAGAATGGCCCTAATCAGAAATGTGCAATTCAAGAAGAGCTGTTTCTGGACACCTCATTTCTCCAACCCAGCCCATGGTTTTTCCTCATCCCCAGGTAGCTTTTACGGGTGAGATCTGTAAAGCATGAAGGCATCTGAGCTCCCGCAGGGGATGGACATCCTGAATCACTCTGCGTCCTACCCAGTGAGAGTCCAGCCTCGCCTGTGGGCCCCGCACCGTCTGTTCCCACTTACTGCTGTGCCCAGACCAGCACAGGGCTAGAGGGAAGAGGCTGCGTCATTTTAGACTCTAGAGGTGGAGTCGTTCTTGGAGGCAGAAACACTCTGGGCTATTTGGGATCAGAGTAGTATGTTTTTATCAACCAAATATCTCCATAGAGAACAGCAGCGGAACGATTAGAGAATCTGGCCGAGACACAGTGACTTGGGAGCTCTGGCCGAATTATAAGCCAGTTTCATTGACGTGCCAGTTGAGCTAGCTGATAATTTGCCCCTGCGAAAACAACACACTTAGCCATGAAAGTCTCGCCAGTATTTTGCACAGCATCATGTCCCAGACAGAAGTTGACTAAGGAAACTGAGTCTGCCAGTGAGTATAGAGAATCGAGCTGTCCACAGGCACTACCTTGATAATTTGATCTCTGGCCTCGGGTGACGGGGCCTGCTTGATGGAACACGTAGCCATCTGACCTGTCGGGAAAGCATCTGTCAGCTGTGTCTAATTTCTTCCACTTCTGGATCGATACTTGCTGCCTTTGCCTTTAAAAATAAGTGGAAATGTTTGTGGTGCTGGGCAGGGGACAATGGTGTATTTTTGGTATTCTTTAGAGCAGGTAAGTTACTTGAGTGAAGACTAGGAAAAAATATATTATCAAAGGTCTGAGATTCTCTCCACAGAATAAAATGTCCTACTTTATTTACTGATGTAATAACTTGTTAGCTCAACATCCTTTTCTTAAAGGATATGGTCATCGGTGTCTGTTCTATGAGCAAAACACTTTCCCAAATAAAAAGTCCTGCCTTGCATTCAAAGTAGTGGGCTCAAGGTGAGAGTCGCCTCTGAAATCAGTGGGAGGTCCGTGTCCCAGCCTGTGCTACTCGCTGTGCTGGGTCAGAGGGGACATTCACGGTGAAGGCCAGCCCTGAAAATCAACTTCTTGTAAGACTAAGAATTTCTTACAAAAAGTCATAGATCTCCTGCATATAAGCGATACATAGTCGCATTGCAACTACCCTAGTCTCTATTCTAGACTTAAATACATTAGAAGATGGTAAATGTTAGGTTAAAGACCTTTTCAGCATATCAGAGAACAGAAGTTGCTTTGTTGTTCATAACAGAAAACATTTTCTTCATCTTCACCGAACTGTAGACTTTAATATGTTTTTGGTAAGCCACCATATCTATTTATTAATATCTCCTCAAAGGGTCTCATTAGTGTTCTTTATTCTAATCTTGGGTAACTTCACCTGTTGTAATTCTTTTGTTTCCTCCTGATGTGGAGCCATAACCTGCTCTGTAAATTGAACCAAACAGAAGGTCTTTGCCCTGGAGTCAAAATTAATTCATTTAACCACTTGGCCATGTGAGAATCTTTCCTCCTGCCTCCACCACCTGGTGCCTTCTTCCCCCAGCCTGAGCACCTACAACCCCCCACCTCTGTACCTATGGGATGTGGCTGTGAGTTGTCTCACCTGCTGGTTGACTCCTGGTGACTCTCTTCTGGCCCTGTTAGTACTTTTTGTGCCTTCCCAGAATGATAAGCAATAGTCCAGGAGTGAGCTGATAGGAAAAGTACGCTCGTGCTGAAGGCCATGGCTCAGTAGCGTGTGTCTCTGCCCCCCCCCCTGCCAGAGCTGTGGCCAGGCCACGGCTGCAGCCCACAGACTACTTGTATGCACCCTTGACTGGCCTTTCCCCATGGCCTCTGGGAAATCAACAAGTCCTGCTTCTGAGCCTGCGCCTGGAGACATCAGGCAGGCCCTTACTGCTTCATGCTGTTTTTTCTTCCGGGAGTAAGCAATGCCCGGAGCACATTTAGAAGCCTTGTGTTGAAGGAGGCAGAGCTGCCCTTCTGAGCTGGGAACTGCAGTGACTTCTCTGAGATAACCTGAGAAATATACTTCTATTTTGCTCTGGGGGTTGTAGGGGCTGTTTGTTACGGCAGCAGCACAATCTTCACATGACTAATACATGATCTCTCATACTCCACACTTGCCTTAGAAACTGTTCTCACATTAATGCAGCCCTAAATTACATTATTACTAATAGCCTTTAGAATGGTTCTGACAAAAAATAATGTAAAACATAACCCAAACTGACTGAAATTATAAGGGAATATATTATCTCACAAAACCGTAAGTCCAGAGGTAGGGCAGATGGCATCTCTGTGTTCTGCTGTGCGCTGGCTGAGCCTCAGAATGGCGAACACTGGTAGTTCTTACCATGAGATATGAGGAAACTTCTTCAGTAAGTCCCTAAGAAGAGTTCCTTTCACACTCATTCCTAAATTGATCATGACATAATGCTGCAGTCCCCAAGCCCTGGGCCGTGCACCAGGACCGGTCCATGGCCTGTTAGGGACCAGGCCACAGAGCTCCACCTCTCCCCTCCCAACCCCCAACCCTGGTCTGGGAAAAAATTGTCTTCCATGAAACCAGTTCCTGGTGCCAAAAAGGTTGGAGACCACTGGTGTAATGAGATTATCATGAGTGATTTAGACCAATCATCTGAGACAGTCAGAATTTAAGAGCCATCATGACAAATAGGCTCTTTGGAGGTCACACCCCCCTCACTTCCATTGCTGAGCAATGTCTGCTTCTCTACCCCCTCTCCGTAACGGTGCTGGGTATTTTCCAGTCGTCAACACCGTTCTTGATCATTTTGATTCATGTTAGACTTTGTATGTTCAACTCATCACATCATTCCAGGTTGAATCTGCTCCTGCCAGCACTTATGTTTAATCTGCCTCCCAGTTTCAACCCTGAATTGAAGAATATTTACCAAACACCTACTATGTTCTGGGGTATGAAGAAAGAGTGTTTCCTCAGTGATTTCACAGTCCCTTCAAAGCAAAGGGACAAACACATGTGGACAGGCTCTAAGAGGAGGCCGGTTTGGTCAGCTGCTGGGGCACAGCAGGCAGGCCCAGAGCTGGGGCTTAGACACCTCCGGGGAGAATTCATCCAAGGGAGGGGACACCAGGGACTATCAGGGATATCGTTGTTTTTGTTTTTTTTTTTTCTTCTTTATAATGTCTTTATCTGATTTTGGTATCAGGGTAATGCTGTCTTCCTAGAAAAAATTTGGAAATATTCTCTCCACTTCAGTTTTCTGGATGAGTTTGTCCAATGCAAATTGGTACTATTTCTCTCTTAAAAGTTTGACATTCATAGAATTCACCAGTGAAGCCATCTAGGACTGAGGTTTTCCTTGTTAGAAAGTTTTAAAAGCTATGGATTCAATTCGATATCGATATCTTCTTGAGAAAGCTTTCATAATGTGTCTTTAAGGAATTTTTCCATTTCATCTCAGTTGCAAAATATATAGGCATGAAGTTTTTAATAATATTTCCTTTTTATCCTTTTAATATTTGTAGAGTAAGTAATGATATTATCTTTCTCATTCCTGATAGTGGTGATTTGTGTCTTTCTTTTCTTCTTCTTTTTTTTTTTTCTTTTTTTGTTCTGATCATCTGGTTAAAGTCTTATCAATTTCATTTGTTTTCTCAAGGAATTACCTTTTGATTCATCCATTTTCTCTATTTTTTTCTATTATCTATTGTACTTATTTCTGCTTTTATCTTTATTACTTGCTTTTTTCTACTTACATTGGGTTCAATTTGTTCTTTTTACAGTTCTTTATATAAAAGCTGAGGTCATTGGAAACCTTTCTACTTTTCTAATATAAGCATTCAGTGCTAGAAATTTAAAGTACTGTGTTAGCAGCATCCCACAGACTTTGATAGGGTACGTTTTCATTTTCATTTCATTTAAAATTTTTCTTTTGATTTCTTCTTTGATTCATGAGTTATTCAGAACTTTTATCTTTTTAAGATACCTTTTTAAGGTACCATTTAATATAAGAATATAAACTTGAGCACTTTAGTCTATTTTTTGTCTTTTAAATTTGTTTATGTTGATCACTAATGCTAACTTATAGTAAGTTCTCACTTCCATAAATTCTTGCAAAGTGGCACTTTAAGCAAAACCATGTATAGCAGGTCCTTGAATAGCATCATTTTGTTCAATGTCATTTTGTTGTAATGTTGATGAGAAAAAAATTGGTTTTGTTATTCAGCATTTCACTTAAAGTTACAGTTTCCAAGAACCTATTGACAACATTGAGAACTTACTAATAACTTAATAATAATTACACATATATTATTGCTTCCCATAAGCCAGGCACTGTTTAAGTTCTTTACAAGTATTAGTTTAATTACCACAACAGCCCTATGGACTAGTTTTTATTTTTATTTATTTTATTTATTTATTTTTTAGTCAGAGACTCACTCTGTTGCCTGGGCTAGAATGCCGTGGCATCAGCCCAGCTCACAGCAACCTCAAACTCCTGGGCTCAAGCAATCCTCCTGCCTCAGCCTCCCCAGTAGCTGGGACTACATGCATGTGCCACCATGCCTGGCTAATTTGTTCTATATATTTTACTTGGCCAATTAATTTCTTTCTATTTATAGTAGAGACAGGGTCTCTCTCTTGCTCAGGCTAGTTTCGAACACCTGACCTTGATTGATCCGCCTGCCTTGGCCTCCCATGGACCCATTTTTATTATTAACCTCATTTAAGATCCAGCAAAGTGAGGCACAGAGAGGTAGAATAATTTGTCTGAGGTCACCCAGCTGTGAGGTGGGGAAGCTAGTGCTGGAGTCAGGCACGCGCCCGGGAACCCTGCTCCTTGCCACTGTGTGCCCCGCCTCTCGGGGGTGGGCCCTCCGCCCCGCCTCTCGGGGGTGGACCCCCGCCCTGCGTTTGCAGCCGGCCTTAACGTGCTCATGCATGTCTGCTTTTGCGTCCGCCACCATGCCTGGCTAATTTGTTCTATATATATTACTTGGCCAATTAATTTCTTTCTATTTATAGTAGAGACAGGGTCTCCCTCTTGCTCAGGCTAGTTTCGAACACCTGACCTTGATTGATCCGCCTGCCTTGGCCTCCCATGGACCCGTTTTTATTATTAACCTCATTTAAGATCCAGCAAAGTGAGGCACAGAGAGGTAGAATAATTTGTCCGAGGTCACCCAGCTGTGAGGTGGGGAAGCTAGTGCTGCAGTCAGGCACGCGCCCTGGAACCCTGCTCCTTGCCACTGTGTGCCCCGCCTCTCTCGGGGGTGGGCCCTCCGCCCCTCCTCTCGGGGGTGGGCCCTCCGCCCCGCCCCTCTCGGGGGTGGACCCTCCGCCCTCCTCTCGGGGGTGGGCCCTCCGCCCTGCCCCTCCTCTCGGGGGTGGGCCCTCCGCCCTCCTCTCGGGGGTGGGCCCTCCGCCCCTCCTCTCTGGGGTGGGCCCTCCGCCCCTCCTCTCGGGGGTGGACCCTCCGCCCCTCCTCTCGGGGGTGGGCCCTCCGCCCCTCCTCTCGGGGGTGGACCCTCCGCCCCTCCTCTCGGGGGGGTAGGCCCTCTGCCCTGCGTTTGCAGCCGGCCTTAACGTGCTCATGCATGTCTGCTTTTGCGTCCCAGCTTTTACCATCGGTGTTTGCTTCATAGAGCCTTTTTCATCCAACAGAATATAAATATTGATTTAGTTTTCCTCCTATTTATATAGGTTTATTTAGAATTTGTTTCAGTATAAGATGTTTTTCATTTTTTCTTTTTAGTCATCAGACATCAAGGACTTACAATGATCCTGGCGCGTACTGAGGTGTCTACAAACCCTATT